ATCGTTAGCGCTCGTTCATATCAAAGCTAATACCTAGACGACATGTCTGGTCGATTAATCTGTTGAAATAACGAAGCTTATACCTTCAGATAGAATTTTATCCTTTAATGAATGAACGTTTCGCGTAAAACGATAATAAGAGGAATGTAGTATTAATGTGTAATTATAAATTTGCAATTTTATCGATTTTATACATATACTTCATTATAATATCTCTCCGAATAATTGAATATAATCAAGTAAGAAAATACCGTGATTGATCAATGTTTTATGTAATCCAAGCGAGTACCTTTTGTGGTTCTATTAGCACAAATTAAATAGTGAAACTTTGAAATAGGTCGTATCGGCTTTTAACGCGGACATTAGCAAAACAAATTTCTTTATTACAGGAGGCTAACGCAACAGGCGGTCCATTTGCAACCTAATGTTTTATTAAAAGAAGGTTTTTGATCTAGTGTTTCTGTTCTGCAGAATTAAGGTAACTTAATAGTGAATATATGACTAATAATTATATGGAGAAAAATAACGTGCTAACGACTAAATACATTTATATTATGTTCCTTTACTATAATATGTAAAGTGCAATTATTATTTTATACTTAACTTTTTCACTTAAAAAAAAATAAAACTCAATAACAAATTTTAAAAGAAACTTATTAAAAAGATGTTACAAAAGATAAAGCATACTTTAAATACTAAATAATTTACAATCTGTGTTTCATAATTAAGTACATTTTAATAAGATGCAATTACATGCAAATAAGGAAAATAAGAAAATCTTTCATACAAACAGAAAATTCATAAGTACAAAGTTTTAATGTTAACGAGTTAACAAGTTCTTTAATAAATAACTAATCCTTTCGAAGTAATTGGTAAACTGAGAAAGAATATTATACATCCTTTCCATTTTCTCTCCTTTTATTCACCTCTTATTCTTATTTCTTACAGTTTGTTTTTATGCCAGAAAAAAGAACATTATATATGTATTTATTATAAAAATACTAAATTAATAATGATATTGCTGTTTTCAACAATTTATATTAAAATTTTCATTGGTTGTACTACGTTTATAATCTTCAATATTTTACAGAATATTTTATTGAATAAATTTATTAATTACGTGCACGAGTCTGGACAATTAAAGCATTTAACCTTGTAAACTTGTTATCGGTTGCAATATTCGTTCGGTGTCTCAATAAAAATTAGTATTAATTATAGATATTCGATACATGTAGCTATATAAAATGTACACATATTACAACATTTGTTATGCTGCAGTCACCTGAAAAAATTAAATTTATTAATATTTAATTGAATAATCATAATCATAAAGTTTTCATAATATTGTATTTCAGTAAAAAGTAGTACGCAAAATTTCTGATTGATATTAATTTTCAATATTAAGTGTATTTAAAATGTTCATTAATCATATTTTCATTAATCGCTCCCTCACATCGAAAGTGAAACAATCAAAAAAATTAAGTTTTCCAGAAAAGGCAAAAAAGTAATTTTTAATTTATCAGAAAATTATTGACTGATCAAATATTGAAAACAAGGACATATTCTTAATATCATTAGTTTACTTTGATTGATAGGATAATGTTTAGCTTATGTTAAGTTATTTATATAATAATTCGAATACATAAATTTCCTTTCCTGGAAAATTTGATGTAATATCTTAATTGTATCACTTTTGAAACAAGGGAATGATATCTCATTAACTATTATATACAATATAAATTCCTATTTATATTAAAAGTAAAAGTTCAATACTTACAATTGCAAAACCACCTATACAGCCTTTTTTACGAAGATTACAGTTGATGTGTGCATGAGAATGTTGATATGTACAAGAATGTAATAAAACAAAATGAAAGAAATTAATTATAAGCTGTTATCGAGAACCATTGTTGATTATAAAAATGTCTTTACCTTTTTCTTTGTTTCGAATTAATTGTCTTAAGTAGTAAGACAATCAATTATTCTAAGTTCGCATTATTCTTTCTCTTCTTGGCTTATTCATTGTCTTATGCATTAATTCAATTAATCGTTTTGTATACTGAAATCATATAATTCGTGTCAGACGATTTAATAATAGATTAAATAATTGGACTGTGAAAATTAAAATTTAATAATTCACATGTATTATCAGATGCATTGAGAAAATGTAAAAATTTAATAAATATTTATAGTGTCAACTAAATAAATATGTATTCGATAAAAAAATGATAGTTGAATCAAATTAATGGTTCCTTGTACCAAATATAAATCTTTATATTTAATAAATATTTAGTTGGTACTATTCAAACAAATAATTTAGTACATTTCGTTGAATGTAAATATTAGCTTTCGTAGAGCTAAACCAATGTAAATAAATCTTGTATTATTGGTGCACAACATGTTTCAAAAACAGTCATGTACTTAACATGATTAATAATTATTGCTGTGCAATTCACATACATTTCTTGTTCATCACGCTCTTACTGTCATTATAAAATACTTATTTATAAATGCTAATTATAAATGAAGCAATTAAATTTTAACTGGCTAATACTAAAAAGGCAATAAAGATTTAAAGATTAAAAGCTAAAAGTGGCGGCTTAAAATGCAGAGGGAAATAATTGACAATATAATCTATTTGATAAATGGTGAAAGGTATGCGAATAGACACGAATGAGTTTTAAATACTGATGCTTTATTTTATATAAAGTATTGTATAAATGTATAAACGCTATAAATATGTGGTATCTATCTATGGTGGTGGTGGGGTGCTAGTCGTGATCGCAAAGAAAGGGTATGACGAGGGCGGGCGGGGTCGGGGGCCGGCGACGGCGAGCCATCTATTTACATTCATTCACTCATGAGAAAGGCTGACCTACCATAATCAACCGGTCTCTCCTTTTCACTAACATATAACACGATTATATAATATATGTGTAATTGTGTGGATATATACGAGTACACATATAGAAATATAGTGTATGTGTATGTGTGCGCGCGTGTGACAATGTGTTCATATATATATATACATATATATATGCGCGGAAGTAATAGGTAATAATATGTATACATATATATATAAGAAGAACATATGTGCAACGCGAGTAATAATAATATGTATGCTTGGGGTGCGGCGGTAAGTATAACAACATGCCGGGAACGTGCGCGTAATGCGACCGACCCGTGGAAAAAGAGAGAAATAGATATGTGCGTGAAGAGCGGCGGCCTTACGGATGGTGGAAGACGTAAGAGAAGAAGGTTCAGCCGGAGCAACGGTAGGTGTTCAGAAAACAGAACAGATCCGGTTGGTCCGACGACGAAGTGCCAAAGCTTGTCCACTTGCTTACGGATGATGGTGCAGTGTGATACGCGTGTGCACGGGGTGGCTTTGTGACACACGGTTGCAACTCGGAAATGCGCATCGTATGTATTGTTGTGATGTCCGAAAGACGACGTTCGCCAATTTGCGGATGAAAGTTCGTTGAGGAGCAGCAAGGTGTTCGTGTGTCGAGATCGGTAAAACGCGGCCCGTGCCGAGCTTCCTTTATCATTGGTCTCGTGATGAACGGTAATTGACTAAATTTTACCCGGTTGTAGCGGGTCGAGACTGGGGGAAAAAATGACTCGAGGCCGCGGATCACGTGTGGCCGAAATCTCAGTGCTGTCCTCTTACAATCTTATCCATCTGTCTTCCGGATCGCGCTTTATCGGCTCGTGGTGTACGTAAGTACGACCGATCGTCCGTTCTGTGTGTATTCCAAGTGTCTGACAATCATATCACTATCTCCAAGGGTGCTCCGATCATGCTCCGAGACTGGACGAGGCTTTGGGAAGAAGACGTTGAGCGCGTTTGAGGATCGTTCGAGACCGGTAAGTGACTGTGGTGGGTTGCCGCCGTCGCCGAGCCGAGATCGCTGGGGTCTTAAAACGTCTACCACTTGCCAATGGGCGCGGGGATGACAGCTCCGTGAGAACCGAGTCCAGCATGGATGGCACCAGACGGTCCGTTGATCACAGCAATTCCGGCATCATGGCCACCAAGGGCACCACCTCCGAGTCCAGCACCACCTCCGATGACAGCGATTCCAGCACCACCAAGACCGCCACCAAGGCCAAGTCCGGCACCACCTTATGAAGAAAAATATCACTAGCAGGAGGCTCAAATACTTGGTGAGTGTAAAAAGAAAAATGAGGGAAGACCTTAAAATAAAAAATGTTTAAAACATGTAATTTGTTTATTTGATAGAAAATTTGTATTACCAAGTCCACCACCAGGCGCGGCAGCAGCAGCAACTCCAGAGCTTCCATCATCACCGTTGATGCCACCAGATCCGGCAAAGAAGGCAACACCTCCATAGCTGGGTCCAACGAGGTTAGCGGTGGCCTGGGATGGTCCTACGAGGGTGGCGGTTCCCTGGGACGGTCCAACGAGGGTGGATGGGCCGGCAGCGGGTCCTACAAGACTGGCGGGTCCAGTACGAGGTCCACCAACGGACTTGGCTCCCTCTTGGGGTCCTACGAGATCAGATGGTCCGGTCTGGGGTCCTACATTGGCCTTGGGTCCCTCAGCGGGTCCGATGTCAGACCTGCCACCAATGACTCCTACGGGAAGAGCGAGCGATGTTCAGTATGTCCTACGTTGTTGAATTAATAAAGAGTATAGATTTGGTACGTTGATACGAACCACCAGAGACGATCTGTTGAACTCCAGCAGCACCAGCCGCCGCCGCCGCACCAGCAGCATAGCTGGCACCAAGACCGCCAGATCCCAAGCTGGAGGCACCACCCTGGAGGGAGGTAGCGGTTCCAGCACCAGCGGCGAGTCCACCACTCAGACCGGCACCACCACGGAGTCCGTGTCCAGTGATGGCCAAACCGGCACCACCATAGCCACCATAGCCGCCACCATAGCCGCCACCATAGCCGCCATATCCTAATCCGCCGTGCGCAATTCCAGCGCGGGCCGTCGCGACCGCTAAGCAGGCGAACACAATCTAAAAGGAACACGCGACGTCACTCAATGTGACTAAATTGGCAGCGAAGACGAATAATCGACGATAATACGATATTCGACCAAATCTGTTAAAATCGCTGAAAGCTTTAAATGATGAATATTGCGTGAGCTCGAGTTTCGATTTACGGAAGCGGTTTACGTGTGCATGTCGTTGGGACTATCGCTGTTACGAATCTAGATTTCCATTGGCTTGGCGCCGATTACCGGGTCTGACTACTGCTAGATCTGTGCAATATAATCGTGGCTTTCACTTTCGATTTCCGTGAACGTCGGTTCGCGAACTCCAAAACGACGGAAACAATCTCGCGCGCGAGAGGTTTCTAGATCGCCGAGATGATCTCGAAATCTAGTTGGATTGGTGCTGTTTTATTGCGAAGGCGGAACGATTACGCGAATGAAAACGCAATGAGAAAGCGCCCGAATGCATCAACGGAAAAATCGACGAGATTAGATACTCGTAACTACGCGCCGTAACGTTTCGTAATCAACTTGATAGCGCCCCTACCCTTCGCGTCGGTTATTCTGGTCACCATTCCTGATTACCGTATTAGGAAAATTCTTATAGACCCGTTAATAGACCATTGCATGCGCAACGCGTATCGTCGGACCGTAAAAAAAAGTAGTCGCGATTGCATAAAATCCGCGCGGACGACTAAACACGAAATATTGCATGCGATTTATAATTAACCGATAATCGATCATATTCATTTCTCTTAATTATGAAAAATTAAATCCCCCGATTTGAATCGCGAATGTCAATTTCAGATACGCGAGTTTGCGTATCCGAAATCGACCATTCGTTATTAAAATTGGGGGAGTTAACTTTTCATAATTAAGAAAAATCCGCGGTTTATAATTTAATTGGGTCTCAGGTCATAGAATTCGTAGGAATTTTCTGAGATTAAAAAAGACAAATCTCAACAAGTTACGTCACGTACCTGGCGTTCAAAGTCGTAACGCTTACGGCTCGTAATACGGGAAGCGGCGTTTAGAAAGGAAGTGTTTCGTGCGATCGTAGAACTGTCGAGCAGCCGGCTGATTAGATATATCGGTGTATACGTAACCGATATTTCGCGATCGCGTGCGAGCGGTATTAGACGGCGCGTGTGTCACGCCCGGTTTGAGACCGTTGCAAACTTAAATGGCACCGCGGCCTGGAATTATGCATATCTAACGACTACGCGAAACTTTCACATCCCGTTTACGCGGAATGAACGACTATCTCGCGGCCGCGCTCGTGTGACGTGGTCGACCGAGCGTTCCCGCGACCTCGCGATCGGAAAAGGATCAAACGTGCCGATTTCAAAATCGCCTTGCGCGATTGAGCGCCGAGTATATTTCCATCGGCCCTGAGAAATTGCAAAGGCATTCCGAGGTCTGGCGCAACGGTTAAGATATCATTATCGACAATGTTATTGATAATATAGGTAATTAACGTTACAGTTATCACAAAAATAGAACGTTGTTTAATGCACATTACGTTTGCAGGACGGTACGAGGCAGAACGTAATTCCGGTGTTATCCTGATTCAATGGATATTGTGTGACGTGAAAAGACGGGGAAAGTCAAGAGAAATGCAACGGCAGAGGATGCAAGAGTGATGGCAAGGTATGTGCAATCCCGAGAACGCGAGATTCGTGAATGAAGATGCGTCTACGCGGAATAGAACTGGTCGCGTGTTAATCCGCTCACTCAATGACGATGATGATACTACCTACAACCGGTTTTCGCCGAGAGTCGGCGCGCGATGCGGTAAGATTTCTTTGCTTTATGAATGAAAGTCGTCGGTTCGTCTGTTTGTTGCGTCTGTCTGCCTGTGGAGAAAAACAGCGAGAGAGTATCCCAACCGTGACATTGAATCGTCGTCGGTTTTATCGCGGACTCAATAAGAAGCGGAGAAACGAAAAAGTACAATGGAGACATTAATAGATGTATTATCGACGTATATATTTATGAAAGAAAGCTGTCGAGCTTGCAAAACGATCGTATTTACTTTCCGTTTGCAGATATGTCACCGCGTTCAAATCTTGCATTAACCTAGTTTCTTGTTTGGTTTCAATTAAGGAGCGCCAGAACGAAATATTACGGAAATAAGCGCTTACAGAGATAAACTTTCGCAGTGATTACAAGAAAGGGCAGAATTTTATGAGATTCCATTAAGGACTCAATGTTATTCCAAGAATCAAAGAGTTTTCAGATCGACACTGTTTATTCACGGCGAAGAAGAGAAGTATCCAATCGAGAAACTATAATAATTTCGATCGAAAAAAAAAACGCGTGATTTTGAGAATAAATGAATAGTCAAAGGGACAAAGACGCGAGGAAAGATAGAATAAAAGTAGCGAAATTCAATAAAATCTAATCGAAGGGCGCGAGAAGTACCGCGGCTACGAGTTAAACACCTCGCGAACACCTCACCAACCCTCGTTGCGGAATACTCACAAAGGCCTTCATGTTTGGTGTGTGTATTGGGCTGGTAGTCCGGTGAATGACTGACTTGGGCCGGGCCGGCGGGCCTTATATACGCCTAACTCTACTCTGGACACGCTCCACAATCACCATCCTTTCGAAAGCAAGCAAGGCGCTCCACCACCCTCCCTCCAGAAAAACTATAATCCACGTACCGCGTACCAAGCGGCTGTAATCCGCGGCAGCGGTAGTCCCACCCGGTTCAGGGGGCGAAGGGGAGTCCCCCCTTTATGGTGCGGCGATAGATAGAAGTTGCCCGTTGTGGGTTATATTCGTGGTGACTATGTCCACGTTTAACAGCCACAGCCTCCTACTCCTCCTGCCCCACCAGCGGTGGTGCTGGCCTACACGCTCGGCTTCTACGCGACGGGCCACACCAAGTGCAACCGAGCACCACCCGGGTTACCTGGTCACCTACGATACAACTCTCTTTCTCACAGGCGTGGTGCTCGGTATACACGAGCGTTGCACAGCTCTCACGACTAACGTTGACGGCGGAGTCCTTTCCGGTTACGGTAGACGGCGCAGGTGCAGTGCCAATAGCAGCAGAATGGTAGCACAGAGTGATCATCACTTTAATTAATTGGGCAACCATCGACAGTGATAAATCGTTGTTTTACGATTGCGGAATGGACTCACGTAGGCTTTTAGATAATAGAACAAGTATTCTTCGTTGGCGAAGTTTCGAGGAGTTTCATAAGAGGCTGTAGTGTTCAAGAAAATCAATTGAAGATTAGAGTGACTTTATTTATCGTTATGGTAAATATAACGAAAAAAATAACAAATTATTGAAAATGTTTGAAAAGATCGAAAACTGCAAGTCCAAATATTTTTCTTCCACACAACACGGATTATGAAAAGCGTATGCTAAAAAAAGAAAGCATATAGGAAATATGTGTAGAACATGTGTCTGTGCAATAATCTTTAAAGAAATCTAACAACTTTCTTGGACAACTTTTGGTCCAAGCAAATTTTTTTTCTGAAGCGATGTAATAGTTACTACATACACTATTGTTAACTGATTAATAACTGATAAAAATTTTGACAGCATTGTATGATAAATTAATACAGTTTGAAGTTATTAAACTATTATTATTTTTGTCGCAACTTTCAATGCTGAAGAAATCTGAAGAGGCGATTTGATGAAGAGTCACGATCGTTGAAAATGACGTCCTGACCTCGAGGTCAAGACACGGATCTTCGGTTAATTAATAGTGCTGCATAATGCGCTTATTTCAATAGTCTTCACTTTAAGACAGATCAACTTAATTTTTTATATTTATTTGAATAATTTTTTGTGGGATGGGAAAAAGTAGAAGCCAACAATATTCAAATAACCGAAAGTTATTACTATTCATGAAAACCACTATCCATGCAATGTCCGAGAAGTAGAAACGATAACTCTGAAGTTTACATTCGGACACGAGAGCCTGTCACACGAAAAGTTCGTCCTGCTTGAAAAAAGGAGGAAAGGAGATCCAAAAATGGCGAAGCACGATCCCGATTACGGCCCGTTCGTTACGTTAGAAAACGAGGCATTCGTATCGAACAGGAATTTCACGTTTGGCGCAAATGCTAAATCGTTCTAAAGAGTTAGAATTACGGGTCGCTGAATGGCCTTAAGAAAGAAAAAAAGACAGAAAGACCTGAATTCTTTTCTAAATAGATTGCCTGCCGCCGCTGCCGCAGCAGTCCGCTCGTTACTTATTACCTCAACCTACTAATTCCAACTGCTATAGTACATTATGCTGGAAATAAAATCGTAAAACGTAAGAAATGGGTGAGTTGTCTGTTGTCGTGAACGATTTGAATTATGATCATTGTTTGTCTGGGATGATACTCGACAATTCGCAAATTTGATCATTTTCGAATTGCATTATCCATTATTTCAAGGAATCTATAAATGCTGTATTACAGTTAATCTTATATTTATTTAGCACTGAGGCGTACATAAAAATATTATTCAAAGTATTAATTGTAATAATTTGCATAATCGCTTATATTTTATAAAAAGGTAGAAATGCGCCATTATAAAAAAGTTGAATAAGTAAAGAGTAGGATAAAAATTTATGCATGCATTATAAGCATGCAAAAAATTGTTTACTGCAAGAGTAGTTACTTGATTGTTTTTTAAGTAAACAATCACTTAGAATGTTTCTACATCAATTAAAATCACATGTTAACACATATTGCATATTATTAACTGTTTTCCAATTTATTAATTTAAAAACGTTATACGGATTTAATCAAAATTTTCTGAAAATAATAAGAAATTAAACAAATATTGAATAAAACTCTAGCAACTTATTACGTAGTTTATTATGACAGTAGGTTTCTAAAAAATAAAGATTTTAATTCCTATAATGTTTTTATTGCGGATTTTCGAGAGAATTGTATATTTAGATGCTCGTAAAAAATAATTATTATATATATATATATATATATATATAAACAAAAATATGTTAAACAATATTCACATAAAACAATATTTTACAACAATTCACATTTTCTCGTCGTTGGGATACAAAAACACCCTACTTGCCTATTCTCGAACTAAACGTAGTCAGGAACAAGTAATTCGTCCGCGTACATGTATGCTAGATTTCTTTAAAGATTATTGCACATACACATGTTCTACATTTCCTATATACTTTCTTTTTTTAGCATACGCTTTTCATAATCCGTATATACGTAACAATGTAAGCTGCAGCGACGAGCAATTGCTAATCTCCAACCTTAAAGGTATTGAAGTGCAGCGCGCCGAAACGCGGCTAATTACATCCGATTCATTATTTTTTTGTTTTCGAGTGTGATGCCCCGCTTATTATACGAGCCGCGACTTCTGCGGCATGCGAAGTGAAAGCCATTATATTATTTGGCGCCCGCGAAAAATGTCGAGCTATCGCGAAAGTCGCCCGCGCAACGTAATCTTTTTTCGTTCGACACTCTTGACCGGTTCCGAATATATAAATCCAATGCATGGCAACCGCGTTTAGCTCTTGTTGGTCTCACCCTCCAACGAGTCGACTTCGATAACATTTCGCGCGCGCGCGTTAATTGCCTCATTAGCCGATTAATCGAACAATTATCTAATCGATGGCGAGTCTTATCTCGCGCAGCGACCGACGTATTTCGTTCGTAACGATCGAAAAAACAGATCCGTAATTATCGCCCAGTTATCTGCGATCAATTGATCCTAACGATTTCATTCGTAATTTCGCTGAATATAAAGCAATTATTAATTGTTGTCTCGTTTTGAATGCGATATTCCTGCGGCTTAATTCCAATCGTGCTTCACGATCTCGACTTTTACATGCTTTTGCTATCGGAGTTGGAATCCAGAATCCAGTTCCGCGACCGTTCTGAATTATTAAGCGATTTTCACGGATCGATAGAGTATCGATTGGCTCGCGTGGTCAATATTCAGGGATACGCTTCTGTGATAAAACGACTTTCTCGGCGACGTGCAGATCCGATATACCCGTGAATCGAATCGAAATGGAGGTACTGAGATTTACTTCATTTGAATGGTGATACGCGATATAGAATTACCTGAATATAAGAAATTAATTTACCGTTTATTTTATGTATATCGATTATTTCATCATTTATTTGTATCCACTTGAGTTAACAAATCAGAGACAATTAAATTTTTTATTGTAAATTATGAACTATTGATTATTTACATAATAATCGATTATAATAATTTTCATAATATTTATGCATGTAACATTTTAGTTTAAATTATTTAGAAACTAAGAAATTCCTATAAAATTAATTAAACATAATGCTTTTTTTGCGCGACAACAGATTTTAAAGTCTTTAATTTTTGTTTTTCTGTAATTTAGCATTTTTAACTTTTTTCTAATTTTTCTTTATTTTTTTTATATTATCACTATTTTATTCTTCATCTCAAATCGAGAAAGTAAACACGAACTTTAAATGAATAATCCTAAATAAATTTACTATCTGTTAATATTTCCTTTACCTAAATAATATTGTACAAAATTCATTATAGCGCATCTTTCTTGCGTCAAATGCTATGCACACACACAGCTCATTCCCTCAGCTATATTATGTTTAAGCAAAACCAAAAGCCAATAAGGTAAGCCAAGATGCTCAAACTTATTCAACGCAAAAATTCCGAATTCTATTGAACATTATGAATAAATAATCTTATATTAACACACGTCAGAAGTGTAAAAAAAGATACTAATAAAATTTTTTTATTTAATACCTGTGTTGAAGATAAGATACATCGCCATATAGATTCCTGAAAGGTTACTCGAATCATACTTTCCTTTACTAAACATATCGTCCTCTACATAATTCCAGAACTTTACATTATTAACGCAGGAATTGTATATAAACTGCCTGACACTGACCAATTTTGATATAACGTTATTGGCGCTGAGCATTATCACTTTGAGTTTCCAAGTCCTTTATTGCGGTGTATCTTATCTTCAACACAGATATTAAATAAAAAAATTTTATTAGTATCTTTTTTTACACTTCTGACGTGTGTTAATGTAAGATTATTTATTCATAATGTTCAATAGAATTCAGAATTTTTGCATTTAATAAGTTTGAGCATCTTGGCTTACCTTATTGGCTTTTGGTTTTGCTTATCAAGATCTTGTAGACAATCTGGCTTTTATGGATCACTCTTGCGATATTTATAATTAAATCTGTTACGGAACGTTATTGATTTATTTGCTGACAACGTATATGACTAATATTCGTAATTTAACTCTGATATTATCTATAAAACTGAGGAAGGTCTAATTCCGAAACGCCTATATTCTATTGTAACATATCAAAATACA